GGTGTTTTATACATACTGGTCATGCAGAAAAGACAGCTGGAGTTAGAAAAGTGAAGAGGGGCTAAAGCCACATCAGGGGTGCAACCAGCTTCAGGGGCAGCATGAGGTGGAGGAGTGCATGACTGAAGCTCCGGGACGTTTCTACATAGCCAGGGCAGAGTGGCGATGAGGTTGGGAAGTCACGTGGTCTCTATTAGACAGATAGTTTTATCCCATGTAGAAAGGCTTGGTGTTTGAATTAAAAGGTGATGAGACCATTACAGGGTTTTAAGTAAGGGCAGGGATGTATAAAAACTTGTATTTTAAAAAAAAATTACTTTAAGTTCTGGGATACATGTGCATAATGTGCAGATTTATTACATAGGTATACATGTGCCATGGTAGTTTGCTGCATCCATCAGCCCATCATCTAGGTTTTAAGTGCTGCTTGTATTAGGTATTTGTCTAATGCTTTCTCTCCCCTTGCCCTCCAACCCTGACAGGCCCCAGTGTGTGATGTTCCCCTCCCTGTGTCCATGTGTTCTCGTTGTGCAACTTCCACTTATGAGTGTGAACATTCAGTGTTTGGTTTTCTGTTCCTGTGTTAGTTTGCTGAGAATGATGGTTTCCAGCTTCATTCATGCACCTGCAACAGACATGAACTCATTCATTTTTATGGCTCCATAGTATTCCATGGTGTATATGTGCCACATTTTCTTTATCCCGTCTATCATTTTCTTTATCCAGGCTATCATTTGGATTGTTTCTAAGTCTTTGCTATTGTGAATAGTGCTGCAATAAACATACATGTGCATGTGTCTTTATAACAGAATGATTTATAATCATTTGGCCATATTCCCAGTGATGGAATTGCTGAGTCAAATGGTATTCCTGGTTCTAGGTCCTTGAGAAATTGCCACACTAGATTCCATGATGGTTGAACTAATTTACACTCCCACCAACAGTGTAAAAGCATTCCTATTTCTCGATAGCCTTACCAGCATCTGTCATTTCCTGACTTTTAAATGATCGCTATTATAACTGGCATGAGATGTTATTTCATTGTGGTTTTGATTTGCATTTCTCTAATGACCAGTGATGATGAGCTTTCTTTCATATGTTTGTTGGCCGAATAAATGTCTTCTTTTGAGAAGTGTCTGTTCATATCCTTTAGCTGCCTTTTGATGGGATTATTTGTTCTTTTTCTTGCAAATTTGTTTAAGTTCCTTTTAGGTTCTGGATATCAGATCTTTGTCAGATGGGTAGGTCGCAAACATTTTCTCCCATTCTGTAGGCTGCCTGTTCACCTGATGATCATTTCTTTTGCTGTGCAGAAGCTCTTTAGTTTAATTAAATCCCATTTGTCAATTTTGGCTTTTGTCGCAATTGCTTTTGATGTTTTAGTCATGAAGTCTTTACCCATGCCTATATTCTGAATAGTATTGCCTAGGTTTTCTTCTAGGGTTGTTATGATTTTGGGTTTTACATTGAGGACTTTAAACCATCTTGAGTTAATTTTTACATAAGGTGTAAGGTAGGGGTCCAGTTTCTGTTTTCTGCATTTGGCTAGCTAGTTTTTCCCACATCATTTATTAAATAGGGAATCATTTACCCATTGTTTGTTTTTGTCAGGTTTGTTGAAGATCAATGATTGTAGGTGTGTAGTGTTATTTCTGAGATCTCTGTTCTGTTTCATTGATCTACATATCTGTTTTAGTACCAGTACTATGCTGTTTTGGTTGCTGTAGCCTTGTACAGGTATTGATCGACTTACCACCTATGCAACTTACAACCATTCGATTTTACGACCACAATCGCTAGCCATGACTGCGCCGCGTCTGGCAGCGCAAACGTTGCCCAGCTGGGTGTACGACAGTGCAGACCAGCTTCTGGCAGCACTACCATCGCCGTGTGCACCATTTCAACTGTACATATAGCCTACTCAACTTACAACCAAATCGTGTTACGACCGGTCTGTGGTCCCGACCGTGGTCGTAAGTCAAGCACTAGCTGTGGTACATAGTTTGAAGTCAGGTAGCATGATGCCTCCAGCTTTTTTCTTTTTTCTTAGGATGGCCTTGGCTATATGGGCTATTTTTTGGTTCCATATGAAATTTAAAGCAGTTTTTTTCTAATTCTGTGAAGAAAGTCAATGGTAGCTTGATGGAAATAGCGTTGAATCTATCAATTACTTTGGGCAGTATGGCCATTTTCACGACATTGATTCTTCCTATCCATGAGCATGGAGTGTTTTTCCATTTGTTTGTGTCCTCTCTTATTTCCTTGAGCAGTGGTTTGTAGTTCTCCTTGAAGAGGTCCTTCACATCCCTTGTAAGTTGTATCCCTAGGTATTTTATTCTCTTTGCAGCATTTGTGAATGGGAGTTCACTTATGATTTGGCTCTCTGCTTGTCTGTTATTGGTTTACAGGAATGTTTGTGATTTTTGCACATTGATTTTGTATCCTGAGACTTTGCTAAAATTGCATATCAGCTTAAGGAGTTTTCAGGCTGAGACGATGGGGTTTTCTAAATACACAATCATGTCATCTGTAAATAGAGACAATGTGACTTCCTCTCTTCCTATTTGAATGCCTTTTATTTCTTTCTCTTGCCTGATAGCCCTGGCCAGAACTTCTAAAGTTATGTTGAGTAGGACTGGTGAGAGAGGGCAACCTTGTCTTGTGTCGATTTTCAAAGAGAATGCTTCCAACTTTTGCCCATTTAGTAGGATATTGGCTATGTATTTTGAAAGATGATTTTGGCAGGAGTGTGGAGCTTAGATTTGAAGTGGGAGCAAGGAAATGAGACTTGGGTCATGCCTAGCCGGAGTAAATGCTTCCCCAAGGAGCTTTCCCTGTGTCCAGGCCATATTAAGTCTTTGCAAGTAATGTGTTACATACTTCCCATAGCCTATTATCACAGTAACTAATATACTCTGCTCTTCTATTGGGCTCCAAGTACCAAAGGAGGATTAACTGGAACCAAGACATTTCTCTCTCCTCACAGTGCCTTGCAAGGGACAATTGCCCAAAAACATTTGTTGAGTGACTGAAAGAATACACATCAGACACACTCTAGGTGACCTCTAGATCTCTTCAGCCAGAACTCCAACCCCACCAATGTTAACCGATGTCTTAATACCAAGGTATTGTCTCATATCTTAAACCAAAATAGAGACGTCAGATAAAATAAGAATGCTTTGTTACATTTTAGTTTCAGATAAACTTTCAGTAATTTTTAGTATGTCTCATGCAATGTTCAAGACACACTAAAAAATCATTATCTGAAATTAAAATGTACCTGGAGTCCTGTATTTTTATTTGCTAAATCTGGCAATACTAAATCAGGCAAAAGCGGCAGTGTTAATTATGTCATTCTGAAAACAGCAGATTTTTATTCCTTCCCTCTGTGACATTTTATTTTTCCAACTTAACCCCAGAATTCCTGAGAGTCTCCTGCCTACTTTAGAGCTAATAATGAATAATCATGTTTCCAAAACTCAAATCTGGACACATTATATGATGTATGAACTAGAGTACAGGCTATTTCCAACCTCTACCACTTACAAATTTTGTGTGAACTTTCTATGAATATCAGTTTTGTTGTTTATTAAATTAGGGGTTTTTTTGGTAGGATTATGCCTAAGATTAAAAACAATATAGTGAGACAGCTGACATGGGCCTAAATTATAGATGATACATTCAGTTAATATTTCCCAGGTGCATATTCTGTGCTAGACAGACACTGAAAATCCTCCCTGTTCTCATGGAATATAAGTTTGGGGTAGGAATGCTCATATGATTAATATGGGAAGAAAGAATCATGGGACCTTTGAAATATTTAGACAACTTGATTACTATGCCCCTTGATTTTCCAATACTCACTCTTGTTTTGTTTTTACATAAATGTGTAAGTGCACACACACATACATTCATTCATACATATCCATACATATATCATGGCTGTTATAGAATTTCAGGGGCCCAGATGTGGAGCAATTAGTCAAGAACCAGCAAAAGCAACAGAAAGGACCACTGAGACCTTGTCAGTGGGCACATCTTGGCACCTGACTTCTGATCTGCTTTTCTCCTGAGAGGATGACTTTACTATTTTCCAAGATGGTTTGTGAACACCAGTTAGCCCTGCCCTACTCAGGTCTCCAACCCAAGTGCCAAATACAGAGCTATTGCAGCCTGATTTTGGGGCTTCCAAGACAGGCTACGAGGCAGCCTCAGCTCTGGCAGAGGTGGAGGCAGCAGGACTGCTGGCAGTGCCTTTCCTATTACTTCTCAAGCAGCTACTCTCATTATTGACCTGAGAGGCCGGCCTGTTTTTCCATGCCCTTGCCTGAGGGCACCCTGCCCAATTCTTGGACCAAAGCTGACCAAAGCAGAGAGCACCTTAACAGCCTCTGACCTGCCAGCTGGTGAGGTCTAAAATGTGTCTTGTCTTAGCCAGGTGGACCAGGGAGCCCTGATACTTGTCCTGCCCTTGCTCGGGCTATCAGTGTCCCATCTGTATTTCTGAACTTCAGATCTTATTTCTTGATCTTCACTTCATTTCTACTTCTGAGACCCTGAACACAAGTTACTACTTACTATCTGCCTGTATCACCTCACCTTTTCAGGGATCTCAACCCCACCATCCATATGAATAACTGTGTTTTATTGTTTGCTCTTACATGAAATAATTGGTATTTCTGTATTTAAATCTCACCACAAGCCTTATGAAGTAATTATTATTTTCCCTATTTCTATGTGAGAAAACTAAGGTTCACAGAAATTAATCAACTTGCCAAAAATCATAGCACTAGTTATAGATCATCACGGATCACTGGGAATTAGAAACCAAGTCTTTTTAACTCCAAAGCCTAAATCCGTTTCCATTATGCCTAACTCACCTTTGGTGAGGATAAACTTCTCCATATTATGCAAATCACTCACATTAACAAAGCTACCACCAGTCAGATGTTGTATGTTGCCAATAATTAGGATTCTAATTTCTGTGCACTGCCCACCAGATAGAGCCATCTTGGGCTTGCAACTGGTTCTTTTCTCCAGGCCACTGTAGAGTGAAATTTAAGTTGATGACCTTCTGTGTTAGTCCATTTTCACACTGCTGATAAAGACATACCAAAGACTAGGTAACTTATAAAGAAAAAGCTTTAATGGACTCACAGTTCCACATGTCTGGGGAGGACTAATAATCATAGTGGAAGGTGAAAGGTACGACTTACATTGAAGCAGACAGGAGAGAGAATGAGAGCTAAGCAAAAGGGGAAACCCCTTATAAAACAATCAGATGTCGTGAGACTTACTACCATGATAACAGTATGGGGGAAACCGCCCCCTTTATTCAATTATCTCCCACCAGGTCTCTCCCACAACACATGGAAATTGTGGGAACTACAATTCAAGATGAGATTTGGGTGGGGACACAGCCAAACTCAAATCACCTTTTTTTTTTTTTTCTAGTAGTCAGCTTTGTAGCTGGGCCAGTATCTCCAGCTCTAGTCCTTCCCCTTCCCATTCTTAGCTCTGCCCATCCTGACTGCTACTAAGATCCCAGCATGTCTGACAGCCAGGCTTGCTAGAAAGGAATATTCATGACTCTAAACTGGGGCTGGAGTCCAGGAACTGGTGCTTAGCCTTACTGTGGGGCCTGAAGCCAGAGCAAAGAGGAGCAGAAGTCAGCTTCCTGAATGACAGTGGGCTGGGGAAATGAAGAGTCAGGCTGAAGTAAGACTCTGACCCTAAGGTGGGGAGCAGAGACAAAAAAATGAGTTAAAGGTCTGAGAACTGCTGCGGGCAAATGAAGGTTGAGACTGTAAATGTAAAGAGGTAGACAAGACAGAGAAATTTCTCGTGGCACAGGTATAATTTCATAGAAGGTTTGTGGTTTTTCCTGTTGCCTGTAAAATATGGCTCCATTTGCTTTTGCAAATGCCAGGGAATACAAAGTGGCAAAGGCCACAGAGGAGGTTTTCTTTGAGTCTAACACAAATTTGCCTCTGGAGAGGCAGAGTTGAAGAAATGTGCACAGCTTTCACCTCTCGTGTAGCCCAGGACTTCTGTGGCTGCTGATGCTGTGATCGAATCCCTGAGTAACACTAGTACTTTGCTCAGCAGCCCGCAGCACCAGCCTGCTGCCATCTCCCCCCAAAACAGGTGGGTTCTTGGAAGGGACAGACACAATGTACTATTAGTGCTGTTCAGTGGAACATAGAAATTATGGCATGAAAACTTAATTGCCACTTTATTCAGTAATCAGCATTAACATAGAGAATATTTAAAGCTACAACACATTGTGCAGCAGCCAGGAGTTAGGCAGCAGTGACTTCTCAAAAGCTAGAAAATTAAAACCTATGTAGAATGAGACTGACTGAGTTATTTCAGGCTGTCTTGTAATAGGTGTGGGGGAAGGCCCATACTAGTGAGATTGGCCAATATAAAGACATATGGAGACCACCCCTCTGACTTCCCTTCTGCAAGGTCCCTCAGGTACAATTTGACTGAATTGAACTCAGTTAATTCAGTCATGTCTTCAAGGACTTTGTGATGTATTATTGGGTAGGAAAAAGTACAGTGATGATTATAATCAGTGTATCATGTAATCAGGAAAGAAAACAAGTTTGGTTTGATCCCTAAGTGTAGAACCTTAGTGGTTTGGCCTTGAGAAAGTAACTTAATTATTCTGAGCTTCGTTTTTTTAATCTTTAAAATGAGAATAAGTATATGGGTCTAGCAAAGATACTGAAGGTATTAAATATAATACTATATAGCTTTTATAATGCTTAGCACAAACTAGACATTTCTTAAATGGTTTTCACCAAAATGTAAGACAAAACAAGCCAAAGAGAAAACAGTACCAGAAGCAAAATTAAGGTGCCAAAGAAGTTTAGAAGACATAGAAATGGCATTGCTTTCCAAAGGCAAGAAAGACTTAATGGAATAGGTTATAGAAGCACAAGTAGATGCTTTATAGGTGAGAAATTCTGAAAATCATAGCAGATACCTAAGAAGTAGCAGTTGAATACATAGATTAAAGCATGAAGGTTGGAGATTATATTTCAGGCAGAAGAAACTAGTAACTAAGGCACAAGGTATGACAATGTGAGATTTGATAAAGGAATAGAAAAAGGAGTCATCTGTCTAGAAAATAAAAAAAATAATTGGGAGAGAAGTGCAGGAAGTCAGAATTAACAGATTGGTCACATGTAATATGAACATGAGTGCCAATACAAGTTGCTGATTACTTAGTACTGTAGGGAGTAAAGGAGCCATTGAAAACTTCCAAGCAAAGCAAAACGTATTTGGAGACGTAAGTGGCATAGATAACAGATTTGTGTGAAGGAAGATGAGAGGTAGGGATATTGGTAGGGGGCTGCTCTCCCAGTTGAGGCAAGAGATAATGAGGCCTGAATTAGGATGCTAACAGTGAGGATAGAGAAGAGTAGACAAAGTAAGAGGCATGGAGGAGTGGAACCCACAGGAATTGGTAAGGAGCTGGACATAGGAAGCCAGGCATGTTCTGTTTGTGAGTACCATGAGTGTCTCATATGGTAATAGCAAGTAAACTAATTGCCAGAAAGTGATGTTAGAATCAGAGAGGAGGGAGATTGAAAGAGAGCACAGACTGTTATGAGGAAACTGGTAAAAAAAAAAAATCAGAAAGAGAGCCCTGCTGACCGTTAGAATTTAGCACTTTTGTGGCTAGGTCAGGCTGCTCCCTTGGCTGGCTTGTTCACAGCCAGTCTGGCTATACCTTCCTGTGCAATTTGCATTGCATATTGGCAAATGGAGATTTGAAGAACTTGAATTTGACTGCATGCAACCCACAACTCCTAGAAGCCAGGTTTGGACCACTGAGCGTTTGCCCCTGTTACACATAACCTCTCTCTAAGGCATCACAATCAACACAGACCATTCGATCAATCTGAATGTGTAGACTACTCCCTCTAGAGAGGACAGAAGGGCCCATCTACCAAGGCTCATTCACAGCCTCCAAAGTGGAATGGTCAAGACAAGCAACTAGGAAATGAAAACTTTTAATTATTAATGTAAAAAGAATTAAAGGGAAAAAAAGTACTAAAGTCTAATATGTAGAATGAGACCAGCCTCTGGACTGGAGTCTGCATGTTGTTGAAAGTAGTACATGCTGGAGATTAGGACTTCATAGGTAGAAAGATTGACATGGGTACCTGCACTTGGAAATTGCTTTTGGGATATTGCCATATATTATTCTTTACAGAAGGTAGGTGTACAGAGTAGAATATCTGGTATTAAACAAACTAATACTCACAAAAATACATGGATGGCTTATACGATACTCACTGAGGAATTGCCCAGGTGAAGATAATACAAATAATTTATGTAGCATTGAGCTACAAGAAAATGGTACAACCAAGACTTCTCCCTCCTATCCCTGTTATGAAGGCTTTATTAACCACATCAAAATGTAAAAAGCGACACTCAAATCAGATTTGACAACAACTTCAAAATTATTAAAATTGCTAAGAAAACTATTTGTACTCACTGTAATTAGCTATTACGATTTTTCTGGATGTGTACTGTGCATATATTTTATAAGTGCACCTATATTGTATGTGCCTGCTCATTTTTATGTATATGAGGATATGCATCTAAATACATGTATACGTGTATTTATTTTACTGAAATAAGCGTAGATCATAGCTGTCAATAATTTTCCAACTCTGAGGCACTGTAGCTATTTCTTTTTTTTTTTTTTTTAGAAATAGAGCTCATATTTATTGAATACCTCATTTAACCCTGACAACTATAGTTTACATTATGCTTAATGCTCCATGCCTATATAAATGTTTTCTAAAATAGCAGATAATGTTTAGAATAAAATGAGAAAATATACCTCTTCATTTGTGGCTTTAAAAAAAAATCACTTCTTCCCAATAATTGATTCAATTTTTTTCGTTAAAAATAGTGACTCTAAAACAGTCATTGAATCTTAACTTTTTTCACATAGATCACTTTTTGAATTTGAGTTAGAAAATTGTGGGTCACAAGTAGAAGACATAAGTTCAAGAACTCAAAAACTCTATTGTGCAACGTGGTGACTATAGTTAATGATAATGTATTGCACTCTTGAAAACTGCTAAGAGAGTAGTTTTTAAGTGTTCTGACACACACACAAAAAATAAGTATGGAGAGAAGACTTTGTTGGGTTAAAAATGGAGGTATGGGAATCACCTGGGTGAGTGGACAAATCTAAAGAGCATATTTTTATTATTAATAAGAGGAGGAAAATAAACAGAGAGAGAGGCTGGGAGCATTGAAACCAACTAAATCTCCTGTCTTGATTTTACTGAGACCACTAAGTGGCAAGGGTGGGATGACTCATTTGCTGGAGCTAAATCGTGTTAGCAAAGCTGCCCTTTGGCTGAAAAGCTAACAGCCTTTCCCATGATCTAATGGTACCAAGGGCTTGGAAGAGAGCCCTTTAGTGGATGCCATTTCATACAGCATCTTATGCTTTTCTCTTCTCCTCCCACCACCCAGAAGCTGTTGCGATGGGCACATTTTTAGAATCTTTAAAAATAAATTACAGTTAGTGATAAAACACATAAGCCAGAGAAATGCTGGGCAAGTGTTTGCTTCAAGCTACACAGCCCAAGGCTGCTGAGTATAAAAATACTCCATGCCTCCCATTTGGCTAAGTGGGGCTTTAGCAACTGGTAATTTTTGCATGTCATAGTCACTGCTAATTGTTGAATTAGAACATCTGTCAAAAATGGGAATATTTTCCTTAGAACACAGAGCAGGGGAAATTAATGCTGCTCTAGTACAAGGCACATCACAACTGTGCCCACTGCTGAATGTGAATACTTCCTTATTCTGGCGCTTACTTACAAAAGGGAAGCTTGATAGTTGCGTTCTGAACCACCCTCAATTAGAAGCCAGGCAGGGCATTTGCAGACTCTGCATATCCCCAGGACAATGGCAACTTGCAAGTGTCTAAAAAGGGACAAAAATTGGACAGTGTCTGATTTAGTAAGATGC